AACCTTGGCTGAATCCACCGAAATTCCCCTTTCTGACCCCACGTGACCCAGAATTTTCACCTCCCGCTGCTAAAATTCACATTTCTCGAACTTGGCATACAACTGGTGCTCACGAAGCGTCTGCAACACTATTTAAAGATTTATAGCATAATCGTCCTCTGACCGCGAGTAAATTAAAATGTCGTCGATGAAGACAATGACAAATTAATCCAAGTAAGCCCTGAAGACTCTGTTCATTAAATCCATGAAAACCGCTGGTGCATTAGTTAACCCGAACGGCATCACCAGAAACTCGTAAGATCCATATCTAGTGAGAAATGCTGTCCTCGGAACATCCTGCTCCCGAACTCGAAGTTGATGATGTCCAAACTGCAAATCAATCTTAGAGAAGTACGTAGCTCCCTTTAACTGATTAAAAAGATCATAAATCATGGGTAAAGGGTACTTGTTACGAATAGTAACCTTGTTCAACTCCCGATAATCTATACAAAACCGAAGTGACCCTTCCTTCTTCTTCACAAACAACACCGGTGCTCCCCAGGGTGAAGTACTCCTGCGAATAAAATCCTAGCTGAGTAACTGCTGAATCTGATCTCTCAACTCACGCATTTCCACTAGTGTCATCCTATACGGTGTTCTAGCAATAGGCGCAGTGCCTAGAGCTAAGTCTATAACAAAGTCGATCCTACGACTAGGTGGCAACCCTGGAGTCTCCTAAAATACATCCAAAAAATCCTGTACAATTGGTATGCTATCCAATGATACAGTAATCCCCTCATCCGTCTCTTACTCTATCCGAAACAAATAGGTGATAGTGTCCCCGTTAAAACGTGGCATAACAATGAAGTAAACATCCTGACTATGTATGGTAACCACAATAGACCCATCCAAAACAAATAACTTGAACATGGTAGTGATAACCAATGCATCCCAAGTATCACGTCATAAGTGTGCATGTCCAGGACAAAAAGATTGGCTAGAAATCCGAGTCTACCAATATCTAGTGTCACAAGCACATCACTCTCATGAAAAATGGCAGTATTGCCCAACATTGAAGAAATATCCTGAGGTCTACTGTATATGTGTATCACCAACCAATCCATTGAAAATCCCATGTTTCTAAGTATTCCGTAGAGCAAAACACATAAGGCAAAACGAAATGCTCCACAACCATCCCATTTTTTTATTTTTATTTTTTAGATTATGTTCTAACCTGGGAATTCCTCCTTCTATACCAAATCTACCATATTGATTTACACAAGTTCTCTTATAAACTCCTTGGTAATCAACTTGTCTCCACACCATGTATTTAGAAGCAACTATTTGCTTGCCTGTTCCACATACTGTAACGACCCAGTTATTTGCCTTCCTTTCCTTTTTCTTGAAATTTTATAAATGAATTTTTTTCGTTTAATTTTCTTTTTTGAGCTCTATTTCATGTCGCTTAGTGTCATCTCGAGTGCTCAGAATTGGTTTCTGAGACTCTTTCATGTGAATTGACAACTTCCTTTGAGGATCGAGTCATTTTCGCAGTTTTTGTTTTTCGACACTATTCACTTTTCGTCATTTTCCCTATTTTGTCTTTTCCCCGTTTGACACTTTGTTGGCGTAACCACACTTCTTGTGTTCGAAGTTGGTTTTTGACTTCATGTATCTCCATCTTGAGTGGTTTCCACGAAATACGTATCTTTACTTTTGCAAGAAAGTACTCTGGTTGCTCCCGGTGTCCATAGGGGCATGGATGCAAAGTTCTTTGAAATTATTTTCTTTTCTTGGGGTGTTTTTCGTAAATATCTTTTGAAGATATTTTATTTCAGATTTTAAGAAAATATTTTTGGAAGATATTTTTATTCTGCGCCATAAGTGCAGTTTGCACTTTTTGGATGGGCCATTATGCAATTAATGAAAGTTATTGCAAAATGTCTTGTTTTGAAACTGGATCCTCGTACGGGATTCATTTTCACATTCATCGAGTTGTGTACTCTTGGAATTTCCTCCTGGTCGATGTTTTCCAGTTTCAGGGTTTTTGGCCCTAGTTTGCGCCAAACTTGTTTTGGGCATAACTTTCTGCTCGGGACTTAGTTTTTGACGCCGTTTCTTCCTTTATTCATATTTTATCATTTTGAATCTTTTTGTTCATAAAGTTTTGCCATTTGAGCGTGTCTACTCAAATTTTACTTTTTCGGACCCGACGGGGCCCGTTCGAGGCACTTTTTGAGATTTCTATAAAAGGGGGGTGAGATATTTCATTTTTCATCTTCTCCCCTCTTCATGCACGACCTGGAGCTCCCATGGCAGCCCAAGGGGTGCTGCCATCTTCTCTCTCCTCTTTTGGTTCACTTTTCCTTGATGGAAAGTCTTCGGCCTTAACGTTTGTTGTTCCCCTCGCCGTGCTCTACCTTTCCCCCTTATTAGAATTCAGTTTTAACCATTTCTTGAGTTTGGTTTTGAGGTCAAGTTATGATTTTGATGGGGCTTTCATGGGGGTTATGTTCACGGCGTTGTCCCCGACAAAACCTAGTAGTTTCGTCGGATTCAGAGCCGTTCCATTTTAATGGCATTTGAGATTTTTATCTCAAATTGAGGTAGGAGATGTTCTAGGTTTAAATTCTTGTTATATAGCATGCTTGTGATGCTTATAATACTTGTTTGCATGATTAAATATGAAATCTAGAGATTTTATTATTTGTTTTTCTTGTACGAGATCTAATTTTTCCGGTTACTCATGACTTGGTTTAAACATGTAGCATGATTTTATATTGCCCCTTGATATGCTCATTGTCGTGTATTAAAATTGTAACATTTGAATAAGTATTAAAGATTTTATTTAATATTTATCTTAGGTGAAAGATTAATTCGCATGGCCTTAACTAGCTTAAAATCAATATGTGTTAGCATATTACGTTAGGCCTTAGCATGCTCTCCAACATAGTTGAATTTGAAGGTGATTGGAGGTGTTTTGAAAATTAGTAATTATTAATTAATTTGATTAATTAATTTACCCCGAGTGCACTATTCACTCTATTTAAATTCCGACTTGATATTCTTGATTTACATGCCATATAGCTTCACATATATTTGATTTAGAATATTCGGTTAGGTTTTGAAACCTTTTATTTAATTAAATTCCATGTTTAAGATTTAATCCTCATGGTGATATACAACTTGGAATTGTATTGTGGCATTCTAGAAAATTAAGTTTTGGTATAATTGTTTACATGTATTAAATTGGGATTTATTGCATGAGAATTGCAACTTTTATTTTATATTGAACTTTAGTGAAAGTTTAGTTCACATGGTCTTAAATTGAATGAAATAAGCTTGTAAAGTGATATTACATTCGTCCTTGGCATGTTCTCTAAGATATGTTAAATTGAGAGCATTTGGTTAAGTTTAAAAATCTAAAGATTTTAATTAAAAGAATTAATTAAAATCTATTTTGTGGTCCCATTAGCTTAATTAAGATTTTAACTTGATATTTGTATTGGCCATGACTTGTTTACTAATATATATTAATTGTGGACCATTTGAAGTTGCTTTAGAACCTTGGTAATTAAATTGGCATGATTTAATTAAAGTTCTACTTTGTTGTTCCAACAACCTAATTGAGTTTTAGAATGGATATAGGTGATGACCACGCCATGTCCTTTAACATGTATTAAATTGAGGTTATTTGGAATTGAATCAGAATCTAGAGAATTTAATTGTGTTTATCTATTTAAATTCTATCAATTTGCTCCATGATCTAATTGTGTTTTAGAAGTGGTTTCTATATTCAAATCATGGACTTGGACTTGTTGTATATTCATTTGGTTATGTTTTAAACATTGGATAACATAGTTGCTATGTTTGTATTCATGAGAATATGTTTTCCTTATTGAATATATTGTTGCCATGTGTAATGATTTGCACACTTCGTGTTTAACATCTTTCATGCATAGCGTGTAACGAATCGCATACTAAAGATTCAAGATTCATCATATCATATTAGTTGTGGATTTAGAGTATGTATTGTATAGGTTTCCAAATTTGGTTGTGCTTAGTAGATAGTTGATTATCTTGCATATTCCTGTTGATATATGCGTTGTTGCACAACTTGTTGATTTTGGAAACTTGGGGATGTCATTGTCTGACTATGGCTAGGACATGGTTCTAGTACGGGGGATAGTCCCTCTATATATAGTCTAGTGCGCACATAGGGAGGTTACCCATAGGCTAGTAACCCTAAAGTAACTATGTTGTCGGTCTGATCCAGCGTGACGTCCGAGTATCCACTTTGTTTGATTTCGCATTTCATTTTCAAGTTGATAACTAGATGATGTTGTAACTTGTTGTTTCTTATTTGTCGTTCCATTTTAAGTTACAGGATGTTAACTTTGCGAAATTGTGCTTTATACGTTGTATTGGAAGTTTAATGTTGGTTAAATTGCATCGATATTGAAAATCGTGTTTTGACGTTCTAATAATGCTTAGGATTGATCCTATTGATTCATTAATAACATAGACGTTAGGTAGCATGAACCACTACTGTTATTTTGTGCTTTAGATTCTAAGTTGATGGCTTTGAGAACTTAAACCTTGTTGTATTGTATAACATGCTCTTTTGTTGTTGAATTGCATGGATAATGTGATTCTTGTTAACTTGTATTCAAATATGCTTTTGTCATGTTGTATGGATTACTCTAGACCTAGTTCAATTGTATTGAAAATGCAATTCATGTTAATCTATGCTCAAGCATTCCTCTTGTCGTGTTCTTTGGATTATCCCAACCATGATTCATTTCATACACATATGTATATCATGATTCTTGTTGCTTAGACTCTAAGGTAGCTTAGGATGCTCCCCGAGTCTCACTTGGACATAGACGTTAGGTGGCATGAGCCTATTTAACATGTTTCACCTTAAGGTGATAAATTTGTAAAATGCTAGGTCGATGCATGCTCATCTCCTACGAGTAGCTTTATGTTACTCACCTCTACGATACTGGGGCATATTTCAGGTATGAAGACTTGGTTCATGATGCCTAGCATTCCTTGGATGTCGTGTAGCTTTCAAGTTTCCATTTCATGCAAATGTTAGCATGAAATGTCATTTTGTAGACTTATATGTCAAAATATGTATATTTGATTCCATGTATGTAATGTGTACATAAGTGTACTCCTATCAATGTATTTGACATGTATGAGATGAGGCTGGAGGCCAATGACATGTGTATTGTATTCTATACAACTTTTTAACTTAATGAAATATTATGAAAACCTTGAAAAATCGCAAGTCATTGCTTCACTATGGTTGCATCGGGTGTGGGAATTCCATTTTCATTCTTTTACAGGGTCTTATTAATCTTGTATGAAGTGTGGCCAAGGGCCATACGGTCATTTGATCCCGTTTTGTATTTTTGGATTTCGAGTTTTCATTTCAAGTTCCATATTTGCCTTTTTGCCTGTTGGGGGGTTGGATTTTGTATCGGTGGTATATTTAAGTCATGGACCATTGTAGCACGTCCAAATAGGTAAGTTACGTTTGCGTGCATGGTCGTTTCTGGGCAAAACCTTATCGTTTGTGTTTTGAGCCTCTTGTGAATTCATTTCGTATTTTTTTTGCATATTCTGATCTAGGGGCATTATGGACCTTTCACTATGGTTTTATTTTCTTCTTTCAACATGGTTGAATAGAAAACATGATTTTAGGGGGGTTTCTTTTCTGTGTTTTTCCAGAAAATGTCGTCTTGATATTAGAAATCGCTTACGAAGTTCAGCTCTCAGTTTTCCAACTTAGCAGCTTTTTGGACCTCCATGACCAGATTTCACGGAAGGGCATTTCGGGCATTCTATATTACGTTTTTTTTTAATTCTCTCATGATTCACGTAGAAAATTCAATTTTGAGGGGGGTTTCTTCTTTGTGTTTTTCCAGAAAAATTGATCTTCTAGCCCGTTTTTGCTCTCAGTTGCAGACAGTCACTGTAGCAACTTTTAACCCTCTTGTTCAATTCTGATCTAGGGGCATTTTGGGGATTTCACAGTGAGTTTTTTTCAATTCCGTCCACAAGGTCGGGTAGAAAACTCGATTTTAGGGGGGTTCTCTTCTTCTTGTTTTTCCAGAAAAAATCGTCTTGACCTCCGTTTCAAGCCTCAGTTCTGGGCAGATCAAAAAAAAAATGTAGCAGCAGCCAAGGGCTGCCACCAGCCACGTCTTTGGGCGCCGGCATGCGCGCCGGTGGGCTCGTGCGTGGGCGCCGTGTGCGCCATGGCCTTCGTCGGGCCGCCGCGACGTCTCAACTTCAAACCCTCATTTCTCCCTCGTCCGGACTCCAAATCAAGTGAACTTTTTTTTGAACTTGACTAATTTTTCACGGTCTTTCCAACGTTGTGGTCGGTTGTACCTGCTTCTTCCTAGTAATTACCAGTTTACCCTTTTTGCTTTAAGTACTCGTTTTTCTTCGTCATGCCGTTTCTCCTTCGTCCGGACTCTGAATCATGCGATTCTTGAGTCCATCTTGATTAGTTTTTCGTTGTCCTTCCAGCGGTGTGCTCGGTGGCACCCGAATCTATAGTTTTTAGAAATGACTATTTTGCCCCTAGGGGCTTATTTGTCATATTTTTGATCTTTTGCTTCCGTATCAGTTCTTGTTGAGTTCCACGACCTCATGGAAGGTCACTTTGACTTCTTAGAGTCTTGTTTTTTGTTTTCGCTTCCGCATTCGGATCATCCTTACGGTTCATCACAGGACACGCTGGCCTAAAAACCTGGGTCGTCACACATACCCCAATCACTCCACTGGGATAATCATCTATTAACGCAACATAATCATCCAAATATAGTTTAATAAAACCATATATATTTCAAAAATGCTATCACACAACACCATAAAGATAGCCAAAACCGCTACTTCAGTTTATTAAGAATTTTTCCAAATCATAAACTGTCAAATGAATAATCGTAAAATATTCTTTAACGTAATCCTAGTGTACGTGATTAAATCCATACTACACTTACTAATACCTTCTCCATTATTAGTATTTAAAAGTACTCTTAAAAGAGCAGTCATCCTAGAACTCTGGTGCCCGCCATCTTGGAAGCTCTAGTATCTCTTCCATCTTGATCTTCTTCAGGGTCTTCCTCTTTGCTTGACTCAGCTTTGAGCACCACCGAAGTTGTGTTAGGTCCACAATATGGTGGCCAATCTTGTACCGTAGAAACCTTCCTTGACTTGTACTCCGAAGCAACACCCATTGGAATCAATTCCTTAGTCTCCAACTTTGCCTTCTTGGTCGGCCTTCGTAAGGGAATCGTCGGAGTAACCTTCTTCTTCCTTAGGTCTTTATTTGCTTTCATCGCGAACCACATGCTCTTCCTAGTGCCAAATATTCTGAAATTACTGAATAAACTTGACATCAGTACTTTCTAAATAAACCGTAAAGAAATACGATGAATCCTAAACTTAAGCTCTAATTAAGAGAAAACTCTACACGGAAGTCTTAATACCAAACATCCTAGAGACACTTGAACCTGGAGTACTTCGATACCAACTGTGATACCCCTCGGATATGAGACACGGGTTGATCAGGCCCAGGCCCAAACCTGAGGAAAATATTAGACAATTAATATTTTAAAACGAACACGGAATACAAAAATGAAATTTAAGAAATAAAATTTAAGCTGAATGAAATCTAAAATATAATCCTTTAAAATTAAATACTTAAAATCCAAAACCTTCAATTGTTTAACAACTCGAGAATCCATCCAATGGACCCCTAAATAAGAAAATCCCAACTGAACTGCAAAATTAAAAGAAATCCATAACTAAGTTATGAAGAGAGATCCTATGTCGTCAGAAGAATGAGTGACCATCTCGGCTCAGCATGAACAAGCTCAAGCCTAGAACTGACGTACACCTGAAAAATAAGAGCGGGTCAGCTCACGAACAAGTTCTATCCTACTACAATTCAAGTACAGACTCGATACGCATATACATTCTAACCAACTCAACAATAACTATATAATCCGTATATATATATTTATCTCCACACTGCGGACTCTCACTGGACTATGATGCGGGTCTCAACCTGAATAGAAGGCAACATGCAAAATGCACCTGAGTGGGCATGACTACCTAAGCCTAATAGGGTATACCTCAACCAACATAGCCAGCTATGCGTACTACTGCATATACGCTCCCTAACCGTCGACTCTGAGATTCAAGCTCAAATCATGGTACCATAAAAATATATTTAAAATTCGTTCCTATCCATCCGTAAGAAATCTAGTTAGTCGTTCAGCGTAATCAGTTACACAGACTAACATATAAGGGGGACTCTATTTATTGTAATCCGTACCCTTATTCCAAAATAGGTAGGACTTAGCAATATGAGCTAATCCAAACCTAGTTTGCCACCGTTCCATACCGGTGCATACAATCCAAATATCCAGCAGTTGATAATACAGTCTATAAATGTAAATATCAACAGTTCCATAATTTCCACAATTGATAATAGAAATATTAAGCATAAGCGTCAACTGTTTCATATTAAGCATGATAACATTTTGTATATTAACAGGCTTATTCAACACTACTCCACAAAATACAATAATTGATATTACAGGCCATACATGTAAACCAATTAAATCAACGTAAGCATTAAAGGATATATAATTTCACATGCTTAGTTTTATAATACTGGAACTAAGATTGAGCAATTTTAAATCCTTTCATTCCAGAAACAGTAACCTAATTTATTAAAATTATCTACTGTGCAAACACAAACATCAAAACCAGTAGTTGTCGGTAAATTCGCATGCTTATTTAAGATTATTGAAATATATTATCCGTAATATATCACAGAGAATTGCTATTCCAAGTTAAGCAAAATTTAAAATCCTTTACATCCAAGAACAGTAAACTAGCTTATTTAAACATTGTCTACGGTTTAAGTGTAAACTCCAGTTGATTTATTTTTTTGCATCACCCTACTCTCTGAAAGTTTAACAAAACTTAGAACATCTTTAAACACTTTAATATAGCTTCTAACAGAATTTGAAAACTCCAAATTCCAAGCATCGTAGCCAAAACAGTCGCCGAAAAATGAAAAAACGAAAACCCAACGAAAGAGCCTGCTCCCTCAAAGAGGGAGCCTGCTCTTTTAAGCTTGGAGCCTATAATGACCCGGTCATTTTCTTCCTTTTCCTTTTTCCTTAGATTTTGTGGATAAGTTTTTTCTGTTATCTTTTCTTTTCTGTGGATGGTTTTTCATCACTTAGTGTCGTCTTAAGTGCTCGAAAATGGTTTCTGAGACTCTTTTCTATGGATTGACAACTTCCTTTGAGGACTGAGTCATTTTCACAATTTTCGTTTTTTGACACTATTCACTTTTTTGTCTTTATTCCTATTTCGTCCTTTTCCCTATTTCGTCTTTTCCTCGTTTGTCACTTTTTTGGCAAAACCTCACTTCTTGTGCTCAGAGTTGGTTTTTGACTTCATGTATCTTTATCGTGAGTGGTTTCCACGAAATACGTATCTTTACTTTTGTAGGAAAGTACTCTGGTTGCTCCCGGTGTCCATAGGGGCATGGATGCATAATTATTTGAAATTAATTTCTTTTCTTGGGGTGATTTTCGTAAATATCTTTTGAAGATAATTTATTTCAGGGGTATCTAAGAAAATATCTTTTGGAAGATATTTTCATTCTGGGGCAGTTTTGCAGTTAACCCTTTTTGTGGGGGCCATTGTGCAATTAATGAAAGTTGTTGCAAATTATCTTATTTTGAGCCTGGATCCTCGTACGGGATTCATTTTCACTTTTCGTCGAGTCGTAAACTCTTAGAAGTCACTTCTGGTCGATGTTTTCCAGTTTCAGGGTTTTTGGCCCCAATTTATGCCAAACTTGTTTGGTGCATAACTTTTTGCTCGGGACTCAGTTTTTTACGCCGTTTCTTCCGTTATTCTTATTTTCTAATTTTGAATCTTTTTTGTTCATAGAGTTTCATCATTTGAGTGTGTCTGCTCAAATTTCACTTTTCCGGACTCGGCCGGGCCCGTTCGGGGCACTTTTTGAGATTTCTATAAAAGGGGGATGAGATATTTTATTTTTTCATCTTTCCCACTCTCTTGCATGACCTGAACCTTCCATGGCAGCCCAAGGGAGGCTGCCACCTTTTCTCTCCTCATTTGAACTTCATTTCTTTGTTAGAACATAGTAGGGCCTTTGCGTTTTGTGTTCGTGTTGACTACGCGCTTCTTTCACCCTTATTAGAACCCATTTCTGGCC